TCCCCAAGCTTTTTGGCCCCAGGGGCCGGTTTTGTGGAAGACAGTTTTTCCACGGAAGGTGTGTGTCTATGGTGGGCTTCAGGTGGTAATGAGAGCGGTGGGGGGGCGGGGCGGAACGGCGGCTCATCGCCTGCTGTGCGACCCGGTTCCTAACTGGACGCGGACCAGTACCGTGGCCTGGGGGTTGGGGACCCCTGCCCTAGAACACATCTCCCCGTCAGAACCGCAAAGCCCTTGCTGGGTTCTAAGCTCGCCCGCAAAACACAGCGAGGCTGTCATGCGTTTGGGGTACCGTGCGCTTCTATGCAAGCGTCACGGCACGGAACGTCCTTGCCATACACGTAGGTATGTGGACCGGAGAAGGAGGGCGGGCGGCCCAAAGATAACGACTCATCTCGATTTTAAATGACGGAAGGAGGATGGGCGTCTGCTCAGACGATTTCTCCAGAAAGCCATGTTTGGGGAGGAAGACATTTTCCTTATCCTTCCAGGCTCTTCTGGCTGGTCTGAGAATGAAATGGACGTGAGACAGATGAACAGGAGAAAGTCACACGAAAGTTGAATCCCCTGGACACACGGGAGAGACCCAGGAAAACGGAGTCACTCACAAACATGGTCCAAACCCTCATCTTAAATGCTATCATCTTCAGCTAAAGACAAAAGAGCCTGTTGGGGTAGTGGCTTGGGACTTCAAAGGGGAGGAAGGCCGTCGACATGGAGACGGAAAAGAAAAAGTTGGTAGACAAGTGTTTGCTGAGCCTGCAGAGACAATGGGACACGGAGTAGACCCTGATCTCCAGGCCCTGCTGTTTCCCCACCACGGGTGGCCCATATCACGGGCAGACATCTCTGGTGAGGATAGGGGTCCCAGGAACAGCTCCTCCGTGTAAATTCTTTCAGGCTATTAGCGAGAAGGTCAAAGTTTCTCTTTTGAGTCTTTGATTGTTTTCAGGTCGAAATAATCTGCATGCCAAGAGATACTTTGCGGGGGGGGGGGGGGGGAGCAAAGTTGTGTTCCACTCCAGTAGCAATAGCCACAACCCACAACCCCAAAGCACTCTTCCTGCGTCCTGTGTTCCCTCAAGTTTCAACACTGCAAATCTCGAGCCTTTGAGCTGTCAGATGTGAGAAGGGGAACAGGCCAGAGATGCACGGCTATATGGAACTGGGGGAAAAGCAACGCCTAGACGGGGCTGCCACTGTGCTTCTTACAGACAGGACCCCGGGCCGTCTCTCACTCTGAGAGACAGAAATCAACGGGGAACACCGAGAAAGAATGGCATGTATGGCAACCCTATCGGAGGGTAGCCGTCATCCCCCAACCGCACCCGTCGTGCAAAGAGTCTGCACGTGGAAACGCGCATGTAGAGAAACCCTTTCGTAACGCGTGGCCCATATTGTGCAAAGACATAAAAACCATAGTGCTTAACAAAAAAGCCATTCATTTGAACATCAGAAGAGTATGTTGTCCTTTTTTCTTTTTAAAAGGCTTCCCTTGGGCATAGAAAAGTTTTTCACATCCACAACGGGGGGCGTTTTTCCTCTCTGCAGCCCATCTTTTTTTTTTTTTTTTTTTTCCAAATTTGACCGCACGCACCGCAAGGCTTACGGGGATCTTAGTTCCCCAACCAGGAATTGAATCCGTGCCCTCGGCAGTGAAAGCACCAAGTCCTGACCACTGGGCCGCCCGGGAAGTCCCCCATCTTTTTGTTTATTGCATAAACTTACACCTTCCTGACCACTGCCACACTCGGTTATTGCTTCGTGATTTTCCTTCCAGCTAGTTTTTGGGTCATTGCAAACTATCTCCTCCAGTGCTTTGTGTATATATCGATACGGTTGATTACAGGCAGATCTCAGAGATAACGGTGGGTTCCGTTCCAGAGCAAAGAGTAAAGTAAATATCCAGAGTAAAGTAAATATCGCCGTAAAGCGAGTCACACGAAGCTTTTGGTTTCCCAGCGCATCTGAAAGTTACGTTTACGCTGGACTGTAGTCTGTTAAGTGTGCAGTACCATTATGTCTAAAGAAAAGCAATGTGGGTGCCACAGTGAAAAACACTTTATTGGTTAGAATTGCTCACCATCCTCGGAGCCTTTCGTGACTTGCTTTTTTGCAATAGAAACACCCCAAATCACAGATCGCCACGATAACGAAAAGGTTTGAAGTATCGCGAGAATTACCAAAAGGGGACCCAGACACACAAAGTGAGCAAATGCTGTTCCAAAAATGGTGCCCGTAGAGTTGCTTGCAAAACAGGGTTGTGACAGACCTTCCATTTGTTACAAATGCGGTGTGTGCAAAGCACACTGAAACGAGGCGTGCCTGTATTTTTCTTTATTTTATTGGAACAGCCCCTCCCAGCAGCCAGGACCATCTGGTGCGTGGTGCCCTGCGCATCCTCACCCAAGGACGCCGGCTCCTCCGAGCATCCTTTGTTTTCATGGAAGCCCAGAGGGACGCAGCCCTTTGGGACCAGCCTTGGAGGGGAGCACAGTGTCCTGAGCAGAGAAGATGCCCGGGCCGGGGGTTCGGAGATCAGGCACCGCTGGCACGGTAGCCTCGCGTTGCTTCACATCGTCGTCTGTGTGTCCCGATCCTGCGGGGGGACCTTTATATGCTTGTGCGTGAGTCACACTTCTGTGTCCTAATCCGCTCAGAAACAGAGCCCTTACTTCCAAAGAGCGTTTCTCTTTTTTTCTACATCTTTTTTTTTTTTTTCTAACATCTTTATTGGAGTACAGTTGCTTTACAATGGTGTATGAGTTTCTGCTGTATCACGAAGTGAATCAGCCATACGTAGCCACATCTCCTTTACAGGCAAACTTTCTTCTCCATCAGTGCTTGTCTCCCCAGGATGTAGTTGTTGCTTTTCCTCTTTGCCGTGACCTCTAAAATGCATTCAGGACTCTGTCTCTTCTCGCATCTGTATTCTTCTTTTCTCCTCAGTTTCTCGCTGCTGCCTTTTCTCCCGTGAACAGAGCCAATCAGCGCCTTTCTAAAGGGGATGCGTCTCTTCTGACTCTCTGGGGACGTCTCCCACCCGTCGTTGCTTAGAAGTCTCTTGCTTTGGGGTTTTGTTGATGGCCACCTTTCCCAGCAGGTGTCTGGGAGGCCATCATGAATGGACTGGAAATTTGCAGTCTTGATGACGACCCTGGGGCCACTGAACCAGGTGTGATCCCTGAGGTGTGCCCACCCCGTGTGAGTCTGCCCGGGCTGTGAGACAAGCGCCCCAGATGGCACGGCTGTAGCAGCAGAGTTATTAGCGCACGTTTGGGGAGGTTGCAAGTCTGAGGTCAGGATGTCAGCCTTGTGGGTGCCCTTTGAGACTGTGGAGACGGCCGTCTCCTCCCTGTGTCCTCCCAGGGTCGTCCCTCTGTGTGTGTCTGTGTCCTGATCTCCTCTTCTTATAGGGACACCTGTCCTATGGGATCAGGGCCCACCCTAGTGACCTCATTTACCTTCATCCCCTCTTTAAAGACTGTATTTCCTAATCGAATCACCTCCTGAGGTCCTGGGGTGAGGACTTAACCTATGAATTTGGGGGTTGGGGACACAGTTCAGCCCATAACAAGCTGTTCACCAGTTTATCGTCAGAAGTTGGTATTTACTCTTGGCCGTTCTGAGACCTTTGCACGTCGACAGGATAGCCATCCCTTAGCGTTGTGTCTCCCTGTATCCTAACATCTGCGTGCACCCGAATCTTAACGTCTACCTATACGTGTCCAAACGTGTGTCTGTACACGTAACGTTAACATCATCTGTGCCACATCTTAGCACATCGATTGGGTACCTGTACCCATAACATGGATCTCTGCCAAACCTTAACATGTGTCCACACACATATCTCGACATCTGTTCACCTATACGAGTATCTTAACATCCACCTAGAGATCGATCTTAACGTGTATTTATACACATAACGTGACATCTGTCTATGCCATGTCTTAACATGTATCTGTACCAATAACATCGCTCTCTACCAAATCTTAGCATCGCCGCACACACAAATGTGGGCCTCGGTCCATCTGTATGAGTATCTTAACATCTACCTAGGGATGTATCTTTTCTTACAAAATAATCATCTGCTCATGTGTTGGTTTTTCTGTTCTAATACCTATAGACATATCTTAACATCGATCTCTACCAAATCGTTTTTTTGTTTTGTTTTGTTTTTTTGCGGTACGCGGGCCTCTCACTGTTGTGGCCTCTCCCGTTGCGGAGCACAGGCTCCGGACGCGCAGGCTCAGCGGCCATGGCTCACGGGCCCAGCCGCTCCACGGCACGTGGGATCTTCCCAGACCGGGGCACGAACCCGTGTCCCCTGCATCGGCAGGTGGACTCCCAACCACTGCGCCACCAGGGAAGCCCTCTACCAAATCTTAACATCTGTCCACACACGTCTTGCATCTGTCCATGTATATGAGTATCCTAACATGGACCTAGAGATATATTGTTTTTTTTAAAGATTTAATTGAAGTATAGTTCATATACAATGTCGTGTTAATTTCTGCTGCACAGCAAAGTTATTCCCTTATACGTATATATGCATTCTGTATCATATTCTTTTCCATATGGTTTATCGCAGGAGAGTGAATACAGTTCCCTGTGCTCTACAGTAGGACCTTGTTGTTTATCCATTCTCTATATAATAGTTGGCGTCTGCTCACCCCAAACTCCCACTCCATCCCTCCGCCACCCCCTCCCCCTTGGCAACCACCAGTCTGTTCTCTGTGTCTGTGAGTCTGTTTCTGTTTTGTAGATAAGTTCATTTGTGTCTCATTTTAGATTCCACATAGAAGTGATATCATATGGTATTTGTCTTTCTCTGTCTGACTTACTTCACTTCGTATGATCGTGTCTTACCGAGAGATATATCTTAACATGACCTGTTCATGGAACACGACCTCCGTCTAAGTGCCGTCCCAGCATCCGTCCGTCCCTGTCTCTTCCTGTCCCTCCGAGGCGCAGCCCTCACTCCCGCTCTGGTCCCGCAGGTTCTGGACGGGGCACGATGACCGCTTCCTGTACATGCTGATGGAGTTCGTGCCGGGTGGTGAGCTCTTCAGCTACCTGCGCAACCAGGGCCGCTTCTCCAGCTCCACCGGGCTCTTCTACGCCGCGGAGATCGTCTGTGCCATTGAGTACCTGCACTCCAAGGAGATCGTCTACAGAGACCTGAAGCCGGAGAACATCCTGCTGGATAGAGACGGTCACATCAAGCTCACTGACTTCGGGTTCGCCAAGAAACTGGTGGACAAGTACGTGAGCATTTCCCCCGTTTTCCCATCTTCCCGCCCCCTGCCTCTGGCAGCGTGCTCTGCGTCCTCTGCGCTGTGACCTCCTTTTTCTTTAGATTCCACACAGAAGTGACATCGTATGGTATTTGTCTCTCTCTGTCTGACTCACTTCACTCAGTATGACAATCTCCAGGTCCATCCACGGTGCTGCAGATGGCATGATTGCATTCATTTTGATGGCTGCGTAATATTCCATTGTGTGTCTATATATATATATACACACACACACACACACACACACACACCACATCTTTATCCATTCCTCTGTCGATGGACACTTAGGTTGCTTCCATGTCCTGGCTATTGTAAATAGTGCTGCAATGAACATTGGGGTGCATGTATCTTTTCGAATTAGAGTTTTCTCCAGATATATACCCAGGAGTGGGATTGCTGGATCACATGGTAGCTCTATTTTTAGTTTTTTGAGGACCCTCCATCCTGTTCTCCATAGTGGCTGCACCAGTTTACATTCCCACCAACAGTGGACGTGTTTTCCCTTTTCTCCACACCGTCACCAACTTATATTACGGCTTGTCTTTCTTTTTTTTTTTTTTTTTTTTTGGGGGGCGGTATGCGGGACTCTCACTGTTGTGGCCTCTCCCATTGCGGAGCACAGGCTCCGGACACGCAGGCTCAGCGGCCATGGCTCACGGGCCCAGCCGCTCCGCGGCACGTGGGATCCTCCCGGACCGGGGCACGAACCCGTGTCCCCTGCGTCGGCAGGCGGACTCTCAACCACTGTGCCACCAGGGAAGCCCAGTTATCTATTTTATACATAGTATCAATAGTGTATATATGTCCATCCCAATCTCCCAATTCATCCCACCACCCCTCCTTCCCCCTTGGTATCCATACATTTGTTCTCTACGTCTGTGTCTCTATTCCTGCTTTGCAGGTAAGTTCATCTGTACCATTTTTCTAGGTTCCGCATATATGCATTAATATACGATGTTTGTTTTTCTGACTTTCTTCCCTCTGTATGAGTCTCTAGGTCCATCCATGTCTCTACAAATGACCCAGTTTCGTTCTAGGCTGCTGTTAAATGCAATCTGATTTTCCCCTATAGAATTTCATCTATTTCTTGGCTAAGAATAAAATGGGATGGTTTTACGTAGAAGAGTGAGAAGACTTTATATAGTTTTAAAAATTGGTTTATGGCATTGGTGCTGCCCCCTATTGGTAACATGTGGTATATAGTCCACCTGCTAGTTTTTTGGTTTTTTTTTTTTTAATCATTTTATTTGGAAGCCCTGATTCAAACAAACAACCAATAAAATGTTTCACAAATTCACTCGGTGATAAGTTTGGCCAACCGCCATCATTTTACAGCTGAGAAATCTGAGGCCCTGAGAGGTAAGGTAGTTTGCGTGTATCCCCACAATTGCCAAGTGGTAGTACCTTGTGGCTTCCAGGTTAAACTTATTTCCCTTACCAAGAGCCTCTGTTCACGGAAGCACCTCAGAGGGGCACTTAGGAATGAAGAGTGGGTATGGGGACCACTTGCCTCTGCTGGACCCCTGTGTCTGCCACTCTCCAGCTGGAGAGATTGAGTACGTTGTATGTTGTCGTCACCCCGTGTGCCTTGGCTTTGCTCGTCTGTGTAATGAGAAGTGTTCCTACCCTGTAGGGTGATTGGTAACAATGGATGGGTCTGCTCGATGGAAAGTATTTCCTAAGAACGGTTCCCCTCATGTAGTAAGCATTGAGTAGACAGTAGGTGCTTCTGACTTTATCATGCCCACCCTCACATCATCATCACCACCACTGTCACCACCATCATCATCCCATAGATATCACCTTCATCACCATCACCACCGTCATCATCACCCTCATTATCACCATCATTATCACCCTCATTATCACCATCATTATCACCATTATCATCATCACCACCATCTCCATCATCATCATCACCACCATCATCTCCATAATTATCACCTCCATCGCCACCATCACCACCACCTTCATTGCTCTGGACTGAACTTGTGTTCCTCCAAAATTCATGTCTTGAAGCCCCAACCCCCACTGTGTGGCTGTATTTGGAGATCATGTTGTTAAGAAGTAGTTAAGGTCAAATGAGGTCATGACAGCGGGGTCCTAATCCCATAGGATTGGTGACCTTATGAGAAATGAATTTCTCCCAGTTCTGGAAGTCCATGGTCAGGATGCTGGCTGAGTTGGTTCCCGGTGAGGCTCTCTTCCTGGCTTGTAGACGGCCTCCTTCTAATACAGTAGAGAGATCTCTCTCTCTTCCTCTTCTTTTAAGGACACGAGTCATTGGATTAGTCCCAGTCTTAACCTGATTACATCTGCAAGACCCTATTTCCAAATACATTCACAGGTACCGGAGTCTAGGACTTTTGGGGGGGAACACAATTCAACTCAGTGGAGGTGCCATGGAAGGCAGTGGGGGAGTCGGAACACATGAGCAATTGGACATCTGTTTCACAGAGCATACTTGGATATCGGTCTCCCACCCCCAGTTGTGGTGGACCTGATAACAGTGAGAAAACTGAGAACGGCGGGTGTCACTTGGCCCTCTCTTCAAGAGCCAGTGAGCAGAAACGATAAGACCAGGGGCATCGATAATTCACAGCCTGGACCAGCACACTCTCCCAGTAACATCCCCCACTGTCTGTCTTGTCGTAACACATTGACTGCAGTCTGAAGCTCTTTCTAGCAATTTGTGACTCTCTACCTCCAAGAAGCATGGGGGCTTTTTGCAGGAAGCTTTTTTAAGTATAAAGAGAATTCTCTTAAAAGGAGAAGACTGCTTCCACCTTGCCCAGTAATCATCTGCTATGCACCTGGGTGTACACATGTCTGTTAGAGTCCCTGCTTTCAGTTCTTTGGGGGCCTTAACCAAGGACTGAAGTTCCTGGGACTTAAGGAAATTCTCTTTAACTTTTTAGGGAACTGCAGTACTGTTTGAAATCTAAGGCTTTAAGGACGTGTACTGCAGTCTGAAGCTCTTTCTAGCAGTTTAAGCCTCTCTACACCCAAGAAGCCTGGGGGCTTTTTGGAGAAAGCTTTTCCTTGAATCAGGGGGTCAGGCTACCTGAGTTTACTGAGAAACTGGAAAGTCATACAGCCTTCCATCTGTGCCCCATACCCCAGGATGAAGCCAGGGAGAGACTCACCTTTCCACATGTAAGCGGAGACACCACACCTAACACAGATACAATTATCTGCACCCACCTGCACCTGGTGAGGACATCAGCTAAGCGCCAGGCTTCCAGCTAGATTCAGGCCACCGTGGATGTGCCCCACCTGGGAACACAGCATTCACGGGCCAGTACCTGGATCTCTCAGCAGAATTAAAGAATTTCATGAGCCAAAGCAACGAGGGTTGACTTTGAGTTGACTCAGCTGGGTGTGGCGGGAAGAAAGATGCTCCTAAGCTTAAGTCTTGGGGACAAGAAACTCCTAGCTGGACCGCCAGGTGGTTCTGTGCACCCTGACGGGATGCCTCTTGAAAAAGCCCAGCAGGTAGCGTGAGCCCCTTCCCGCTCGACTCCGTGTGGGAAGAACCCACGTCTCCCATCTCCTTTCCTTCCTTGAACTTACGGCCACCTTCTGCACCCACATTCCTGGCTGGTTACCAGACCATACAATTTCTATCTGCACCAACGTAACGTGACCTTCCATTCCTTCCATAGGATTTGAAAGTGGAATGGTACTTTGTATCACAGAGGGTTCTACGGAAATGGGAAAGAGTCTGTCGTGTGAAAAAAGAATCAGAGATTGGGAATGGAGAGGTGTCATGGAGAAGGGAAGCAGGGACCCAAGAGCACCTTTGGGTGGGTTCCTGGAGAGAGCTGAACACTCCCGCCCAAGACCCCCAACACTCCAGTGGACCTGGGGAGGGCTCGGACCAGACGCACTGCTTACACAGCAGGGTCAGCGTGAGCTCGATGTTGGGCAGAGAAACAGAGAGAGTGGACAAACGTATCAGTGAGCAGACACTGTTACGTTCTTTACGTTAAACCTGCAAGATAGGGGTTTCTTCTATCAGTGCTTCATCATTGCATCTCTTGTTGGAGGAGTTCTTTGCAAAGGATATTTTCTCCCTCCTCAGATGCCGTTCCTTTCTCCCTGTCTACAGACAGGTGCCAGACACAACGGCAACACTAGGCAACCCGGGCACACGTGGTCTGGACCTGGGCTGCAGCCCAGAGTTTTTAAGTGGCTGCCCCAGAGACATGCTCCTTGGCACAAGCGTGCCAGCTGGACGTGGCTCCCACACAGCTCTGTCTGGACTTACTGGTCCCGGATCCTTTCCAAACCCGCCCTTGGTCCAGCTTCTGCCGACGTCCTGGCTACCTTACCTTGACTCTGGGTATCAGACACCTGTTCCTGGATCTCCCGCCCACGGGGACACCCTCCTTTCTTAGCCTCTTCTGTCTCTGCACTTTATAAAATTTTAATTGTGGCAAAATATAGGTAGCATCCAAGATACCACCTTAACCAATTTTAAGCGTAAAATTCAGCGTATGAATCACATTCAGTACGTGGTACAGCCATCCCCAACCATCCATTTCCAGAACTCCTTTCTTCTTGCAGAACTGAAACTCTGTCCCCGTTAAAACGTGCCAGCTCCCCTACTTCCTCACCCTCAGCCCCTGGACCCACCATCTGCTTTCTGTCTCTTGTGAATATGACTCCTCTAGGGGCCTCATGTAAGTGGAATCATTAGGTAGTTTTCCTTTTCACTGAGCGTAATGTCTTCAGGGTTCTTCCATGTTGTAGCAGGTGTCAGAGTCCCCTTCCTTTTCAAGGCCGAATAATACTCCATAGTCTGGATATATTCCTTTTTGTTTATTCATCCGTGAGGGACCCTGGGGTTGCTTCTCCCTTTTGGCTGTTGTGAACAGTGCTGTAATGAACACACGTGTGCAGATATCTCTTCAAGACCCTGCTTTCATGTCTCGTGGGTATATGCCCAGGAGTGGGATTGCTGGATCGTAACGGTGGTTCTATTTTTAGTTTTTTGAGGACCCTCCATAGTGGCTGCACCATTTTACATTCCCACCTACAGTGCAGGAGGGCTCCCTTCTCTCCACATCCCGTCACCACTTGTTCTCTGTTTTTTTGATGGTAGCCATCTGCATGGGTGACGGTGAAGTGGTCGCCTCTGCACTTTCGACTCTTTCCTCTCGCCGAGCCCAGGGCAAAGTCACAAGGAGAACCTGAAGTTCTTCCTCATGGAAACCCCATCGCATCCCCTTTCTGAGCTGTAGCTCCTTGTCTACGTGACATGATGTCATCTCTCCAAGCCTGAGGGGGCAACTGGGTGGTCAGCCTCTTTAAAGAGATAAACGTGGACATCATCATGACAATTTTCTGGACCTCCAAAGCTGTGTTTCCAAATGTTTTGTTTCCCTGGCCATCATTTAGCTTGTAGCCCGTCACGTAGCACAAGTTATAATACCCAGTGTGGAGTGTGAAAACCCCAGGTGCTTTAGAAGCAGAGGTGAACTGGGTGAGGGCTGATGTGATATGGCCCACATGGGGTGGGTGTTTGGCTTCTGAAACCGTCATAACAAAGTACCACAAACGAAGGGGCTTAACCCAACAATGTTACAGCCTCACAGTTCTGGGGGCCAGCATAGGAAATCAAGGTGTTGCCAGGGCAATGGTCCTTGTAAAGGCTCTAAAAAACCATCTGTTCTGTGCCCCTCTCCTAGCTTTTGGTGGCCTCACGTGTTTCTTGGCTTGTAGATAAAGAAGCTAGGAGATGTGTATAAAATGGAATATTATTCGGCCATTAAAAAGAAGGAAATCTTGCCATTTGGGACAACATGGTTGGACCTTGGGGGCGTTAAAGTGAGATAAGTCAGTCACAGAAGGACGCATACTGTGGCATCTCACTTAACGTGTGGAATCTAAAAAAGCTGAATTGGAGATCCCACTCCTGGGCATATATCCAGAAAAGACGAAAACTCTAATTTGAGAAGATACATGTGCCCCTGTGTTACTAGCAGCACTATTTACAATAGCCAAGAAGACATGGAAGCAACCTCAGTGTCCATTGACAGATGGATGGGTAAAGAAGATGTGGTACATGTATACAATGGAATATTACTCAGCCATGAAAAAGAATGAAATAATGCCATTGGCAGCAACATGAGTGGACCTAGAGATGATCATACTAAGCAAAGTAAGTCAGACAGAGAAAGACAGATGTCATATGATATCACTTCTATGTGGAATCTAAATAAATAATACAAATGATCTTATTTACAAAACAGAAACGGACTCACAGACTTAGAAAACAAACTTATGATTACCAAAGGGGAAAGGGTGGGGGAGGGATAAATTAGGAGTTTGGGATTAACAGATACACACTACTGTATATAAAATAGATAACCAACAAGGACCTACTGTAGAGCACAGGGAACTATATCCAATATCCTATGATAAACCATAATGGAAAAGAATCTGAAAAAAATATGTGTTTAATTGGATCACTTTGCTGTACACCTGAAACAAACACAACATTGTGAATCAACTGTACTTTAATTTTTTAAAAAAACAGCTGAACTCATAGAACCAGAGGGTAGAATGGTGGTTGCCAGGGGCAGGGGATGAGCGGAAGGGGAAATGGGTGAAGGTACAAACTTCCAGTTATATGATAAATATGTTCTGGGGATTTAGTGTATATCATGATGACAAACACACACCAAAAACACAAAACAGGCAGATGACATTGATTGCCTTGGACGCTTACCCAACGTAAGAACGTGGGCTGGAACCAGACGGTTTCCAGATCTTCTTAGTGGTTTAACAGCCTAGCTGTGTCAGTTGCACTTTGGGGAAGAGAAAGTCACCATTCAGACTTTGGCCGAAGGCGCCGATGGAGCTCATAGCGCATGTGTCACAGCAGCGTTTTCCCTGGCATCTCCTTTGGTTGCCCTTTTTTTTTTTTTTAAGATTTTTTTGATGTGGCCCCTTTTTGAAGTCTTCATTGCATTTGTTACAATATTGCTTCTGGTTTATGTTTTGGTATTTTGGGCCACCAGGCCTGTGGGATCTCAGCTCCCCGACCGGGGATGGAACCTGCACCCCCTGCATAGGAAGGCAAAGAACCACTGGGCCGCCGGGGAAGTCCGTGGTTTCCCTTTTGGATATTAATCACTATCGCTGATCTGTCATATAAAACGTGAACATGACCATAGCGTGTTATTTTCCTATGCTTTGGACACAGGGTTTTGTTTTGTTTTTTTGGGGGTTTTTTTTGCGGTACGCGGGCCTCTCACTGCTGTGGCCTCTCCCGTTGCAGAGCACAGGCTCCGGACGCGCAGGCTCAGCAGCCATGGCTCACGGGCCCAGCCGCTCCGTGGCATGTGGGATCTTCCCGGACCGGGGCACGAACCCACGTCCCCTGCATCAGCAGGCAGACTCTCAACCACTGCGCCACCAGGGAAGCCCTACAATTTTTTACTCTTGATGAGAACTTTTAACATCTATTCTCTTAGCAACTTCCAAATGTACAATACAGTATTATTAACTATATAGTCACCACGACATATGTTACAACCCCAGGACCTAATCTTTCAGCTGGAAGTTTGTATTGTTTTTATCTTTTCACGGGTGAATTTTTGTTAGCAAAATCCTCCATACTGAGATATACAAATAAAGAGAAAATTAGGAAAATCATTCTTTATTTTCCATAGGGCATAAAAATTTAGATATTTCAGCAGAAATGTTACAAATTATAAGTTTTAATTAAACATTGGGGCTTTTTAAAGTATAAATAGAATTCTCTTAAAAGGAGAAGAAGACTGCTTCTCCCATCTGTTGTGGGAGCACAGGGAAGGGACGACCCAAATAAAAAACAACCACCCACGCGATCAGAAATCTCCGCTTTCTGCGCTGGGTCCGGCTTGGCTGGTTGGAATCTCTTGCTTTCAGCCAGCTGTCCTCTAGGTGGCGCTAAAAGGTAAATATTTTGCAAGTCTCAACTCGTGGGGAGAAAATCCTTTCCCAAGCTGTCCGCCCCATTTAAACCCCAAACATCCCAGAGCCCCTTAACCTGAGGATTTCCAAAAGCCACCACGGATACTAAAATGACCGCGAACCCACAAAAACACTTCAGGCCTTTTGCAGAGCAGGTGGAAAAGGCACTTAGCTGTCGCTTTGCGTTTCCTCTGGGGGCACAGAACCAGCTCATTTATTCATAAAGCAGACGTCTGGGTTCCTGAGGGTCGTTCCCTTGAGTCAATCCTTGAATCCTTTTTTCCATCATTTTATGGGGAAACAGGGACTGGGGGTTTTGCTTCTGAGCAGCAAAGGTAAGCACCAAGAAGAAGACACAGCCGTGATAACAGGGCCGTCACTCAGATTCTTTCTTGGTTACAGAGTGTTTGTTATAAAGGACAAACGTCAGGGAAGACGAGGTTACTGTCTTTATCTACCGGGCGAGGGTTTAATGCATCTTGTCGATCAATTCAGTGACTAACCTTCAGTGCCTCTGAGACGCACGCACTGGCCAAGCACAGCTGAGTTTTGTGGACCCCCTTCTCTGCCCACAGGACGTGGACCCTTTGCGGGACCCCCGAGTACCTGGCCCCCGAAGTCATCCAGAGCAAGGGCCACGGGAGAGCCGTGGACTGGTGGGCGCTCGGCATCCTCATATTCGAGATGCTCTCGGGGTGAGTCGGGTTTCCGTGGAGAAGTCGGCGGCGAGTCCCTGCCCCCCTCGCTGGCCCTGGGGTGCTCAGCCCGCCCCCAGGATGGGGCACCGGGGGTCGGGGGCAGCTTCTCGGGGTCGGGGCGCACGGCAGTTTCCCGCTGCTGGTGACGGTGATATGAACGGACCGTCCGGCTTGATTTCCAAAGAGCGAAAGCGGAGGCTTGAAGGACCAGCAGGGCACAGCTGTCGAGGTCTTCCGTCCTGTCTGTAAGTGTCCCTGTCTCCCAAGAAAATGCTGTTCATCTCCCGCACGGACGCTCTGGAGTGATTCCCGGAGCTGGGTAACGTACGTGTTGGATCACGCAACTGAGGACGTTATGAACGGAGAGTGTGCCGGAAGGGAAAGGGTGTTCTTCCCTGGAATCCCAAACGTGCCTCGGGGGAGGTTAGGAGTCACGCTGCCCCTCGTCCAGAGAGCCGAGAGTCGGACTGTTTCTCGGGGTCGGCATGATTAAATAGTGAAGTGTGTGGCTTCTGCGTGAGACGTGCAGGATGGACACAGAAAGCAGGCCTCCCCCTCGTAGAAACCGTGGACCTGGGGATTCTCCCCCGTCCTGTGAACGCGAGGCTCTTCTGTCTGACGGGCAGCCCTCCGTCCACACTCCCACCCCTTCCCTGTGTCCTGCCTTCTTTGGCGGCTGTGCTTTTTGCTGGTAAGTTTTGCAGACACTGAGTTTGCTCTGGTTTTAATAAAACCCGGAGCCTGTTCCATGCCTGTGTGATTCCCTGCAGGGCTGGTCCACAGCTTTCAGTTGGAAAGAAAGATGGAAAGAGGCCTTCTGCTGCATTGAGTGTGTGAGCAGCCAGGGGGGAATCTCTGCAAACCTGTCCGTATTCATCTGTCAGTCGTCCCTCTCTTCATCGTCTACCTGTGATCTCTCTGTCGTTTATATCTAGTTATCGTCTGTGTATCTGTCATCTGTATCTATCTGTCGTCTTTGTATGTCTTCTCTATTGTATCTGTGGTCAGCTCTGGTATCTATTTACATAATATACCTATCTGCCCACTCTTGTCACCTGTTTATCATCATATTTACCTATCATCTAGTTTGTCATTTTTATCCATCATCTATCTACCTATTTGTCTGTCTTACTATCTGTACCTATTTATCTCTAACTGCATATCTGCTGTCTATCATCTGTATGTCATCTATTCTATGTATCTATCATCTGTCATCTACCTATTCTATCATCTACCTGTATCGATCTCTAACTCTCTATGTATTTTTATCTACCTATCGTCTATTTATATCTATTTCTAACTGTATATCTATTAATTCTTAGCTATCTGCCTTTCTGTCAATCATAGATCCATATCTATCAATCATAGATCAATATTTGTCAATCATAGATCAATATCTATCAATCATAGATCAATATCTGTCAATCATAGATCAACATCTATCAATCATAGATCAATATCTATCAATGTATCAAATCTTTTCAGTTTTCCATTGCTCTTCAGTCAAACACCTCTAGCAAATCACATAGACCCAAGTTTCTTCATATGCACCCTAGCCCAGGAAGTCCTCATCAAAGCAGCACGCTGAAATAAATGGCATGTACGGTCGAGCCACCAAGAAGGTATAGAAACTGTACATCTTTCTGCACCTGTACTTGATCAGCTTCCACGCTCAAGCCAGCAGCATACCTTCCCTCCTGTACATTGCTGACCACGAGAGGGCAGCCTTGTCCGAGGAGAATTGAATCCCGGCGCCCAGTCATGTTGAGCAGAATGGGGTCCACGTGTCCTCTGTTTTGTCTTTATTGTTCGGTTGGACTGTAATAGTGCAGAATACAGTCATGCGGAATATCATTAGGAGAGGCAAGGTTGGAATATAATACACTGTTAGAACACAGTGTGGACAGACGACAATAGAAAATTATTAAAATAGAGTAGGATAGGGTAGAATTAGAATATAATATTAGGATATACTAGAATTATTATGAGGGTTATTATATAAACATAATTATTAGAATTCTAATAATTTAATATGCTATTTTAATAGTAACGAAGATACTATTAGGATATAATATATTAAAATAATATTCTCATTACTATTGGGATGTAGTATATTAGAATATTAGAAAATAGAAAATATTCTGTTCCAGTAGAAGGTTAGCCATACGGTAGTTCTAGTAGTCTCAGAGAATATTAGGAATTCAGTAGAAAATAATGTAATTAGAATCTATTACTAGGTCCTATTATTAGAATAATAGGAGGTTAATAATTCAAACCCTCTCCTAACCCAGAACCCCGTAAGCTGAACTTTGCGTTTCATAAAAGGGAACTGTTAGTTCACAGTCGGCATATTTTTGTCTTCCACATTTCAGTTAGAGTCAGGCTTGTCTGGGTGGTATTTCCAGAGACACCCGTCCTTGCCCACACCGCACGCCTGGCTGCCCCGGGGCTGCCCCTGAAGTCTGGCCAGCCTCTGCTCTCGCCTGGACCCGTCCCGAGTGTCCTCACGTCTCCTCCAGCTGCCCCTGCCCGTGGCACGTTCCCCTGGCAGCCACCGGAGGGGTCCCTCACCGACACCCGCCAGGCCACGTCCTTCTCCCTAGCAGCCCTCGAGGGGACAGACCCGGAGCTCCTCGTTATAGGAGGCTCTGAGTCGGTCTGTAGAAGATCTGCCCACCTTAGACGGAGGCCTGGCCTCTCTCCTGGGATCGCGGGCCTTCCTGCTGCGCCTCCTGCACCCGATGCGGCATTGCTGTCCCTCTCTCTGCCAGCCGCCTGAGGGCATCCCCCCGGCCGGTCCCTTCTCTTCCGGTCCTCACGATTCAGGCTCACCTGTAACCTGCCCTCAGAGCCCTCCTCCGCTGCTTCCAGCCACGCTCCGCCCTAGCACCCCTTTCTGTTCTCTCTGGAGCGCTCAGTGGGTCTGACACCATCTGGTTCCGTGTGTTCGTTGCCCACGAGATCACTGGATGGTGCAAGCTGCTCTTCTCACCCCCTTGAACCCAGACGCCTTTGGTGGCCAGTGGGAGGGAGTTCTCATATAGATGGCGGAGGTGGCCTTTTCTTCCAGGTTCCCGTCTCCCGCGTGCCTGTTGGATTTCCATTTTCTGTTTTGGCGCCTTTAGCAAGATCAGGCTAGACTCTGCCTTGTCTGTTTGCTTACTGCTTTCATTGGTGGGTGAAATGTTTCATGAAGTACATTTGTTGGGTACCACCAGCCACGTGATTAGGTATGAGAGTATGTCCTAACTGGGATTTTATTTTCATCGAGTAAGAAATGTTTCGGTTGGATTGAAAACAGGTGGCCCATTCATGGGCTTTTCCAGGAGCGCCCAACTCAGCCCTGATGTCTTCCATCATCTGTTCCTTTCATATCCACCCATGTGGAGAGTTTCAGTCGCACGCCTGTTTTTCAGGAAGATGGAACTAGTCTGCATTTGGAGCTGCGTCCGTGTAGAACGTTAGCTGCGGTGCAGTGGTTCTCAAAACATTTCAGCCGCAGGACCCTGCAAGTTTTCAGTAACCATGTGTCCTAAAAGTGACTCCCTTCCTAAAAGTTATGAAAACGCCCCTAAATGTTAGTATCGACCCCAAAGAGCTCTCATGGATACAGGTTCTATCTGTTAACGTTTACCACATTTGGAAATTAAACTGAGATGATATATATACGTATATAAGTTTATACGTAAAAGCAGAAGGTGATAAACTAATGATGAACATAAATCAAATTTTTAATGGAAAAAAATAACTATTTCCTAGTATTAAAAATAGTTAGAGAAAACAGTGACGTTGTACACATGTTCACTAGTCTCTTTTATGTCCGGCTTCATTGCGGGCCACTGCGTTCTTCCCTTCTCTCACACTCTGGTGTGATTCGTTGTTTAGATTGAGGTGTATGACGAAAATGCAGCCACATTCAGATTTATAGTCAGAAAAAGGGTGTCACAAATCTCCTGAAAAGGCCTCGAGGAACCCGAGGGTTCCCTGGGACCCCACTTTGAGAATCACGGCTGCCATGCCAAAGATAGGGTGCCCCGGGACACTCTCTCTCACGCTCCAGTCTGCCCGGGTGTTTCCTGGCCCAGTACTTTGTGCTTGCCCCTTTTTCTGAGGATCTCAGATATTTGTTTTATAGGAATGTATGAGGCCGAGGACCTTGGAGGGAGAAGTCAAAAGAGGGCGATACTATAGCAGCCCATCTCTCACTTCTCTCTCCAGAAACTCTCCTTTTCCTTGAAGCCATTTCCAAAGTACCTGCCTTCCAAGGTCCTTTCCCTGTTACAATGGGCTCATAGTGTGGGACCATCATTTTGTTTTTGTTTTCTGGCCACATCCTGTGGCATGCGGAACTTCCCGGACCGGGGATCAAACCCCCCGTGCCCCCTGCAGTGAAAGCACGGAGTCTTTTTTTTTTTTTTTTTGAGATAAATTTGTGTATTTGTTTGTTTATTTGTGGCTGCGTTGGGTCTTCGTTGCTGTGCGCGGGCTTTCTCTAGTTGCGGCGAGCGGGGGCTACTCTTGGTCGTGGTGCGCGGGCTTCTCGTTGCGGTGGCTTCTCTTGTTGGGAGCACGGCCTGTAGGTTTGCAGGCTCAGTACTTGTGACTCACGGGCTCTAGAGCGCAGGCTCAGTAGTTGTGGCGCACGGGCTCCGCGGCTCCGCGGCATGAGGGATCTTCCCGGACCAGGGCTCGAACCCGTGTCCCCTGCATTGGCAGGTGGATTCTTAACCACTGCGCCACCAGGGAAGTCCAAAGCATGGAGTCTTAAGCACTGGACCACTGGGGCCGTCCCAGGAGCATCATTTTGTAACGGGTCTCTGGGGTCTGATGAGAAACGCAAGGTCACAACAATGGCGCCTGTTTCTGGACAATCCATTTTTTTTACTGGGACATTTAGGTAGGTCGACGGTATCTATACAAAGAATCCAGATAGATGATGGAGAAAATGACAAAATTGGCATGAATTTTTCAGACGAAAGTCTCGAGCCTGCCTTCACGGGGATGGGCAGCTTGTCCTTCTGACTACATCTCACCATGGACAACGCAAGGTGCACATAACGCCCACTTCTGTATGACAAGCACCCGTTTGTTAAGAATTGGAAGGATTCTGTTGGATTAAAGGCAGAGACTTGAGGGCACTTTCTCTGGCCGCTTTGCACACGCCGAGTTCTCCGATACGCCCTCTCCGTGCTTTTTCCTTCAGGCAAGCTGTGTTAGTGCTCTCCCTTATTATTGTTTTTTCCGCTCGCTAAACTACTGCTAACATGCCTTTCCCATGATAGTGTTGTGTAATGCCAGCTCCCCCAGAGTACTGCGTACCACATCCTCCACGCACGTGGGTAGGTATGTGTGACACATTTTCTCCCTGAGGACCTCATCTCAGACCCTTCACTTCATCCCATCTGCAAAAACTCTGTTTCCGTATAAGGTCCCATTTAGGTAGTCAGGGTGAGGACACGGGTGTGACTCTGGAGGCCACCATTCCACCCGTGATACACTGTTTCTCTTTAAAAAAACATGAGGAGTTGATGTGGAATCAGCACGAGAATTATTGTTGACCATTGAGATTTGCCATCAATCAGACCATCATTTGAAACCTCCCCTTCATATTTCCATTGCTTATTCTACTGAATTAGAAGACCTCCTTCTAAAGAAACTAAATAGAGGTTTTGCTTTCGAGTAGAAGGTCTTTGCCTTGAATACTCTGAGGAAGTATCAGAAGTATACCTCGTGCCCAGGGACGTGTGGCTATCTGGTATGCATTTAGTGGTTTACTTCTAGAGTTTCTTGGGTTTTTCGTGGTCCTCACAGTTGGAAGTATATTTCTTCTTTAGCTTATGTCACGTTGTGTTGTTTTTCTATTTCCAGATGTTAGAAAGGATAGGTCTGTTAGTTTCTCTAACTAGACTGTAGTCTTTAATTGTGGTAACACTGCCGCAGAGGATACATACGTGTATGGCATGCGTGTGCCAGTACAACTTTCTTGACAAAAAGAGGCTGTGGGCCATCATTGGCCAACCCCTAGTGTAGATCTTTGTGCCTAAAATCGCAAACTGGAAACCAGCCCTGCTGTCACTCACCTCCCAAAGTAGGATGGAGGTGAATTCATCGACCGTGGAGATTTACATATTGGCTTCTGTAAAGTTATGAAGTACTTGAGCCAAAAAAGTATGATACAGTGTAACCTCTCCTCTTACATTTGGCCTGTGTACACTTATTGAGCACCTACTGTGTGCTCCACACTCCCGTACGCAGGAGGGATACAAAGAGGTCCACTCATGGTCCAGTTGGGGAGACATTTTTAATGGCACCCTAGTGACCTCAGAGTTGGTCAGATGGCCTCACGGTCATTGCCTTTTCTTTGCCGGCCCATCCTCTGTCCTCGAGCTGCAGTGCTTCACGCTTGGCCTCTTGCAACCATGTCTTCGAAGCTGGTCTCAAGCCATCCATGGACTCCAGGATGCGAGGAAAGAGCGGCCGTGAAATAAATTCTGTTCTGCCCGGGTCAGGCGGAAAGAGTCCTCCTTACCCAGCAGGGATGTTTTCCACACTTGCTCGGCACTAAAAATAGATGTTTATGTTTCTAACAGGTTTCCTCCGTTTTTTGATGACAACGCATTTGGCATTTACCAAAAAATTCTTGCAGGCAAGATCGATTTCCCCAGGCATTTGGACTTCAGTGTCAAGTAAGTAAACCGTTCCCTCCTCATCGGGTGTGTTTATTTTTAAAGCATCTAAGAAACCCCAGTTATGGCATCTGCTGAGCGGGGTACCATCCTGTGTTATTCTCTGTGCTGGGCTGAAGCTGTTTTGACCGGTCCTTTTTTCCACCAAAAGGGAAGAGGTTTTCATGACTCTGCTGGGATGAGACTTCACCTTTTAATGACTCTCAGCCCTATTTTATACCGTTTAACATAAATGACACTTACAATTAGCGAATAAGGGCGTTTGTTATCATATTTAAGAAGAGAGCCGTTTTGTTATTTGACAAGAAGGGTGTCCTTCCTCCCAGCTAGTGTTGCGGTTGGCACAAGCGTTGATGGCTTTAGCAGAGTTTCTCTTTTCTCTCCTGCTTAAATTATTTTCATTCTTAAAGTCCTTTCTCCTGCTAGAATTTTGAGTTACGCCCTCGTTGTTTCAAGAACTGTCGCATTGCTTCAGTGTTAAACTTTGGGTGTGCATTTTTGTGTCAGTGGGAGGAAAAGCTAAATTTTTTAAAAGATAAGAATGCTTTAGGTTTTCCAACGATTTTTCCAACGACCTTGCTCTGTGTGTCAGCTTTTAGCCATTGGCACCGTTGTGAGTCCTAATTTCTAGCCGTTTTACTGTATTTCCCAGATACGTTGATAGGTGCTTCCAACCTCTTCTGATCCCCAAATGGGGTTTAATTGTGTTTAGTTGAGAACTACACTTTTCTCTCTTGTTTTGCTACATAGTTTTAAAGGAACCTGTTAAGTTCAGGGAAAACTTATTTCATGACAGTGATCAGCTGTGATCCTGGGGCCACTGGCTGCATCTAGTTTTGTTTCACCTTAAACAGCGATGTTCCGTATGGACCAAGGATGGTGTTCTTCTTGGTTCGTGTGGGCTGGAGCTTGTGTCGTGTTTGACCCACCAGCTAGGTTTCAGAAGATTTTAGCAAGAAAAGGAGGCTCCAGTTAGACGTAAATTATCCGGAAGGGAGACTTCTGTGTCCTGAATGGTCCGACAGTAAGGTGACAAGGGGAATGCATACAGCACTCAAAAGTCTACTGCTCTAGAAAGAAATGAAGAAATATGGTCTAGGATTTCTCTCCCAGGCTCCAGGTCCCATCAGTGTTGATGTGAGGAGTTGATTTGGAATCAGCAGGAGAATTGTTTATGATCATTGAGATTTGCCATCCATTCGAAACAATGTTTCGAATGGATGGCAAAACACTTTAAAAATTGAGTTATAGGGGAGGGGTGGGGAGGGATGAGGAAGGATCGGGGGAGGGTATTAAGAGAAGACAAAATAAAGAGACAGAAATAAAGTTGAGTGATAAATGTATGAACGATTGACCGATGATATGATCAGAGTAGCGCCAACTCACACCCATGGGCGCTGCTACTTGACGGCCCCTGTAGACTCCCTGGAATTCTCCTGGTACACCTGGGGCTTGTACACCCGCTGCCTGTTGGCAGGACCCGCCCGCGATGGGTGTGACTTCGCTGTTGCCGTGGGTGCACGTGCTCCAAGCAGGATAAAGATGAACTACCTCCTGTGTCCTCACAGCCTGCTTCTTTCTTTGGTAAACTTGTGACGGTCTCAGGCAACACAGATCATCAGACTGGATCCCCTTCCTCTTTCGAGGAAGGACTTAAATGCTTCCAGGAGGTGTTTCCCCAGGAGAAGGGAAGATCCATAAATCTCAGGTCATTTATTTGCTTATGTTAATGTATGTATTTGTAATGGTTAAAATAGTAAATTTTATTTCTATTTTACCCCCGTTTTTTTATCCATTTTGTTTTATTGAAGCGTAGTTGCTTCACAGTATCGTGTTAGTTTCAGGTGTACAGCAGTGATTAGGTTATACATATACACATATATGTACATATATATGTATATATATATTATATATATACATATACACATATATGTACATATATATATTATATATATATGTATATTATATATACATATAAATTCTTTTTCAGATTCTTTCCCATTATAGGTTATTACAAGATATTGAATATAATTCCCTATGCTATATAGTAGGTCCTTGTTGTTTATTTTATATACAGTAGTGTGTATCTGCTAATCCCAAACTCCTAATTTATCTCCCCCCACCCCCTTTCCCAATAAGTCTGTTTTCTGTGTCTGTGAGTCTGTTTCTGTTTCACAGATAAGTTCACTTGTATCTTTTTTTTTTTTTTTCTGGCCATGAGCGCAGCACGTAGGATCTTAGTTCCCCGACCAGGGATTGAACCCATGCCCCCTGCATCGGAAGTGCGGAGCCCTGACCACTGGGAGGGAAGTCCCTGTATCATTTTTTAGATGCCACATACAAGTGACATCATATGATATTTGTCTTTCTCTTCTGACTGACGTCACTTAGTATGATCCCCTCCAGGTCCATCCACGTTACTGCAAACGGCACGATTTCATTCTTTTTTACACTCACGTTCGTATATAGGGTACGTTTCCAACGTTTCGTGAACAAGAAGATGTTATAGAAAGAGAACAGACCTAAGCGTAATCTCCGTCCGGTCTCCTGCCAACTCCCCATCTTTTTCTCCTAGTTTACTTTCAAGAGAGAAGCAGCAGAGACTGTTCTGGAATCCTTGGTTAGGGTGAGGGTGAGGGCGAGGGCGAGGGCTCACGTGCGCAGCTCCAGGTGCTTCCTCTCACGTCCCCAGTGAGGGTCTCAGCAAGGGCAGGAACCTGGGACCCTTTGCTGCCCTTGGTGATGGCAGACCGTAGTTGAGGAAAGCTTTACTTCTTCACGTTTTTGCCTAGATCTTCATGGGCTGGCTGAGAAGCAGAGCCCGAGGGAGTGATTTCCTACCCAAGTGACTGTCACCAGGTGGCCCTGAGGGTAGAATTTTGACTGAAGTTGTTCAGGTCCTTTGTGGGTTCCTGCAACCTCAGCGTTGGACCGTGTCAGCGTGTTGGCCTGGGCAGATGTCTCTTTGGATGAAGCTTCGGGTTTCCTTGCAGGAATACGTATAATGGAAAAGGAAGTAAAAGCCTGGGGGCTTGGTGCCGACTTGGTAGAACTCATATTTATTTACAAGTGTTTCTCTGTGTCTGAAAGTGTCGAGGAGAAGCCAGCTGGCACCCGGGGAGTCAGCAGGATTCAGAGTTTCAGCCTCGGTGAATGAAGGGCCTGCCAGTGGACTCACAGGCATCCCAGGATGGAGGTGCCCATCTGCCGCGTCTTGGATGCCTGCAGAGTTCCTGTGTGGCGTTGCCATATCGGGTGGCCCCCTTTCCTTTGCACCTTCTGCCTTCAGGATCGAGCTGTTTCGCAAGGATCTGATTTTATATATTGAATAAATCTTTGATTTTCTTGTAATCCTGGGACTGGCAGCTTTAAGGATATGCACTCATAGGGCTGAGGGTGCTGTAAATAATGGGGAAGAAGAAGAAAAAAACACATGGATTTGGGGCTGTTTTGGGAGTGTGGTGTTTGGTGACCTTGTGTTTTTTAGTTTGTTTCTTTGGTATGTCAAAATAATGAAGGGGAGACTCAGTAAGTATGGGAACGGTACCTTCATTTCTCAGTGCTCTTGTATCCCTCTGCCTTGCACAAGAGTAAATTTCCTCTGTTTTCGATGGACACATCAAAATCCTAGCCTTAAGGCTACATCCTAGCCTTCGGTGAGCCAGTGTTCTTGGGTTTTCTCTTTGAGATGGATTTGGGAGAACGTCTAGAAGGACTCCAGTTCTACTTAAGGATACACGGTGTTGGGAAACTGTGTTACAGTTACACCTTCACAGAGTTTGATCAGTAGGAACCTGGGAGATTTCACGGTGCAGATGTGAGGAGCCCTGGGTCCCTGGTCCTTCATTTATCACCTGACGCATCTGAGCCTCCTTAGCGGGTCCCACAGCGCCCAGGGCGTAGCTGGAGCCTGGGTTTGTGCTGCTTACCCCGGGGCATCGTTGGATTCAGGAAAGCTGAGATGCTTAAAGCTGAGTCGGGGGTGTTTGATTGTCCTGGAAAACATCCTTATATGCTTGAAGTCCCTGGATACTAATTTACACACAACATAGTCAGCGTATTAGATACTTAAACACACACATTATACTTTTTATTTCCTTAACTGTTACTCTGAGAGCTAGCCCATCTTCTGGAAGTCTTGAAAACCATCTCCAGTTTCCCATCATAGTTGACCGTCCTGCTGTATTCTGATACTGCCTGCAATTTATTTATTTATTTTTAAACGAGATTATTTATTTATTTATTTATTATTTAATTTATTTTTGGCTGTGTCGGGTCTTAGTTGCGTCACGCGGGATCTTTTGTTGAAGTGCACGGGCTCTTCGTTGCAGCGTGCAGGCTTCTCTCTAGTTGTGGCGTGCAGATTTCCTCTTCTCTAGTTGTGGCGTGCAGGCTCCAGGGCGCGTGGGCTCTGTCGTTGTAGCGCGCGGGTTCCAAAGGGCGTAGGCTCTCTAGTTGAGGCGTGTGAGCTCAGTAGTTGCGGCACGCAGGCTTAGTTGCTCCGCGGCATGTGGGATCTTAGTTCCCTGACCAGGGATCAAACCCGTGTCCCCTGCACTGGAAGGTGGATTCTTTACCACTGGACCACCAGGGAAGTCCCCCGTCTGCTATGTAGAGGGAGGATCTCAGTGAACCGGCACACACGAAAGGGATCCAGTAAGTTTACGTGCTTACGGGAAGGCAAGGATGGCCAGACAAGAATCTCACAGATAAACAGACCCACAGGGCAAAGCGAGACCATCGATTTTGGTAAAAGTGCATGTCGTGTAGTCGGTGGGGATGGCCTGACTCGTATGTCTGAAATGAAGCCTCCCCATCCCCAGGGCAGGCACATTTTCTCTCGCTCCGGGGCTGTTCTTCTCTACGATGATCTAATCAACCTCTTCCCCTTAGCTAGGTCCTTCTCGCAGCTCTGCGCCGCAGAAATTATTTAGGAACAGATAATGGTTAGAAAGAAGCGTGAGAAAGTGTTCAGCCAGTGTGAACCGCTGCGCCCGTTGTCCACGTTGTGCGGTGTGGATTTTACTGCTGTTGACCTGCTGTGTTTGCGTGGGTCCGTATCAACATGTCTGTGTTTTTGTCTCCGTCTCCCAAACAGAGACCTCATTAAGAAATTGCTTGTTGTCGACAGAACCAGGAGATTGGGAAACATGAAGGTGAGTGTTTCCGTCCGTACATGTGAAGTGGTATTCGTTATAAGTGCCTGTCATTTGACTTCACACCCTTCAGCAAAGGCAGAACATTCGTATTCAGTCATTGGTCAGATTCCAAATCTGGGTTTCTGGGGCCTGCAGAACCAAACTGGGTCTACACCCCATCTCCTTGTCTCTCCAAAGGAGCCAGTGACTCAGCAGTGATCTGTAGGTTACGAATCATGACTTTATTTACTTTTGTATTTTTCAACAACGTTGTTGAGGTATAATTCACATACCATCCAGTTTCCCCGTTTTAAAGTGGACGGTCCGATGGCTTGTAATGTATTTGCAAAATTGTGCGACCATCACCACAGTTTCAAAGAACCTGCTCATCCTTTCCAAAAGAAACCCATATCCTGTATCCTGTGTCTACCACCTCTCTATCCTTCTATCCCTCCTGGTGGTAGGCAACCACTGGGCTACTTTCTGTCTCTATAGATTGTCCTATTCTGAGCTCTCATGAAAATGGCATCATACACAACGTGACCTTCTGTGTCTGCTTCTCTCACTGAGCATCGTGTGTTCAGGGTCCATCCACGTGGTAGCCTGGGTCAGAGCTTCTCTCCTTGTCCTGGCTGAGTCCTGTTCTACTGTGTGGATGGACCCCGTGCTGTGTACCCATCCATCCGTCCATGGACACTTGGGCTCTTTCCACTTTTTGGCTGTTAGGAATAGTGCTGCTATAAACATGCACGTGCAGGTTGGTGTGTGAGTTCATCGTCATTTTAGAAGCTGTACACCATGTGTGCTTTTGTCAAACTTTTCATCTGGAGGGAAACGCGTGGAAGGGACTGACTTGTATAAACTGTGATACTGTATATGCCTGTCTTGGTTCCGTTCTGGCGCTGCTGAATTTGAGACAAACCAGGGACACTTTCTTAGCTGTTTCTAGCTCTGGACGTCTGTGGATAAACTTAGACGCGGACCAGTGCATTGACCCTGTCAGTTGCAGTCTTGAGGGACAAAGGAGACCTGTGTGTGAGACCTGAACCCCGCAGGTCTCGTGGGGCCCTCTGTTTATGTGGGTGTGTTCATTTCCTGGGGCGGCTGTAACAAAGGACCACAAACCGTGAGCTTAAAACCACAGGAATCCATCCTCCCCCATCCTGGAGACCAGACGTCTGAGGTCCAGGCGTCCCAGAGCCGTGCTCCCTCCAGAGGCTCCAGGGGAGGGTCCTTCCTGCCCCTTCCAGCTTCTGGGGGCTCCAGGCGTCCCTGGGCTTGTGGCCGCCTCCCTCCTGTCTCTGCCTCTGTCTTCCCGGGGCTTCTCCTCTGTGTCTGTGTCTCTCCTCTTCTGTGTCTTGTAAGGACACTGTCATTGCATTTAGGGTCCACCCCAATGACTTCATCTTGACTTGTTTACATCTACAGAAACCTTGTTTCCAAATAAAGTTACATTCACAGGTGCTGAGGACTAGGGCCTCAACATGTCCTTTCGTGGGGAGCACAGTTCAATACATAACGAGTTAAACTGGTTGGCTAGTTAAGGCTACTCATGGAGATTGGCTCCTGTGTTGAGGTCCTTAAGGGAGGGGAGTAAACGCTAAGTGGTTGGATATCACTGGAGAAAGGAACAGATCTGTGAAACAGCATGGTTGTTCATCCAGTAACGGGCTGTGTTTCTCCTGGCGCTCCTTCATTTGCGGTGTTTCTCTTTTTATTTCCCAAACAGACCATTGTGTTTAACTCCTTCATCCTCTGTGGACACTGCTCTGTCCTCCACACTTGGCAAGTTTCTAGCGCTCACTTTCTCCTTCACTTCTTTGTCTGTTTGTTGTATCTATCTATCTGTCATCTATGTCTATCTATATGTCTGTCATATTCCATCATCTGTCTACCTGTATATCCGTCATCTATCAATCATCTATCTAGATATCTCATCCATCTCTCTCTCCATTATCTATCAATTTGTCTATCATCTATCTGCCTATGTATCTATCACCTATCATCTGTTATCTTCCATCATCTGTCTATCATCTGTCTGTTATCTATTGAACACCTATCTACCTAACTTTCATCTATCATCTATAAATGTATCTATCTAAATAGCTCATCCTCTGTCCTCTACCGTCATCTACATCTATCTCTCTGTCATCTATCTAGATACCATAAAACCTTAGTATCCATACTGAGTTTGAACTTTTAGGGAGTAAACCTTCAGTCCCATTTACCTTCTCTCAGCATCCCTCAAGGTAACACTCATCAGATGTCGTTATTTGACTTACATATGGATGGAAAGAAACAGGAAAAGAAAAAGGGTTTTCAAAACAATAGGACTGGAAAAAAGAAGAAAACATTGACATCCCATCTCCTTCCTTTTGGAGATATGGTTACAGAGACTTTTCTTTTTTGAGGATAAATCATTTAAAACTTTAAAAAATATGAACTGATACACGTTTTAAAAAGTTAACTTCAGATGCACTGGCTCCTGTGTCACAGACATCACATGTTTCTGTCTTATAACTTCACGCATTTAATTGATTAAAAAGTTGCTACAAGTGTCGTAAAAAAGGAGAAGAAGGGTGCAGCTGAAGGCTGAGAACTTGGAAGGGATTTTCAGAGGTCCTGGTACTGGTGGTGCCTCCCGTCCAGCTATTGACACCACAGCTGAGGATGAACTAGACAGACCTTAGTACACATTGGTTTTTGTGTTTTGTTTTTTTAAAATTTTTTGGGGGGGTAGAGTTGATTTACAGTGTTGTGTTACTTTCAGTTGTACGGCAAAGCGAGCGCATATGCATGTATCCACTCTTTTTTAGATTCTATTCCCATGTAGGTTATGACGGAGTATAGGGTAGCATTCCCTGTGCTGTACACATTGTTAATTGAGAGGCAACGTTGGGTAGTTGTTAAAGTCTCTGAAGTTTGACATGCTCAGTTTGAGTTATAGACTTACTCGCTGGGCAGTACAGAGCAAATGACATCATTTAATGAATCTCAGTTTATACATTTCTAAAATGAGCGTAATTTCACCTGAGGAAATTGTCAAGATGAAAACAGGTGTCAAACTCAGACCTGACCGCACGTCAGTCTAGTTTTATGTCACGAGGCTGAATCATAATTATACTTCGGTCTTTGGTCCAGAGCGGCATACACGTGAACCTCGTGCCCGATTTCTTTCTACGACAAAGGAAAGCAAATGAAACTCAAATGCCTTCATCTGTCGTTTTCCCTAATAGCTCACACTCTGGGCACAGTGACTGCACACGTAGCAAACTCTTGTTTTTCTCCGTAGGGCATCACGTAGAGGTTCTCTTGGAATATTTTCTTTCCTATCCTGTCAACCTTCTGTTCACTGATGATGCATGTTTCTTTTGCAGAACGGAGCAGAGGATGTGAAACGGCATCGGTGGTTCCGGACCATGGACTGGGAGACTGTCCCAGAAAGGAAACTGAAGGTACAACGTGTTTAAATGGGCAGTTCGTCCCTGGGCAGCCTGGAGCTCTCCTGAGCTCTCATTCACTTAGGATGGACACATAATGAATTGATTCGGTACAAGCAACCATCCCAAATCATTAACAAGCCAAGTTCCCTATTCAGGGGGGAGCTCAGCTAAAGAGTCACCTAATGGGGGCTTCAGACCCCACTTTTGCAGTTGGGTTTTTGGAGAACTGGCTCCATCCGTCCCTGGCTCTGAGACGATGATGAATCTCATCTGTTCCCTTTCTAAGGGGGAATAACACAGGTAGGAAGCATGTGTCATACTTATGGACGGATATGGCACAGTGATGGTGGTAGCTTAGATGGAAAGTATTCTGAGGCCCGTCTTTGAATTTAATATGTGATTGACGGGTATCCTCAACAGCAATGTTTTCAACGTTGCACTTGGGCGCCAGTGGAGAGACTTAAAAAATGCTAATGCCTCGCCCCCAGCCCAGACTCTAGGGGTGGAACTGATATTCATTTTGTTCAAGGTTTTAACTTTTATGTATTTTATTCTATTACACTGACTTACAAAATTGCCTAAGTAACATATTCGCATTGTTCAAAAACCAGATCAATATTAATAGGTATACATGGCCAGGCTGTCCCCTCCCAGCTGGCTATAGGTAACCACTTTTATTAGATTCTTCTGTGTATCCTTTAAAAGTTTCTTTAGGTTAATGTAAACCCAGGTGGATACACATATTCTTATTTTCTCCCTTTTTTAAAAAATGTATTTGTTTTTATTTATTTATTTGGCTGTGTCGGGTCTTTAGTTGTGGCACGCAGGCTCTCTAGTTGTGGTGCGAGGGCTCCAGAGCACTTGGGCTCAGTAGTTGTGGCACGCGGGCTCTCTAGTTGTGGCACGCAGGCTCTAGAGCACACGGGCTTAGTTGCCCCGTGGCACGTGGGATCTTAGTTCCCTGACCAGGGCTCGAACCCATGTCCCCTGCATTGGGGACATGGGATCTTAGTTCCCTGACCAGGGCTCGAACCCATGTCCCCTGCATTGGAAGGCAGATGCTTAGCCACTGGACCACCGGGGAAGTCCTTCTTCCTTTTTTAAAAACAGAAAACCTACAGTTATACGTGCACTATTCTAATTTTGCTTTTTTCATTTAACGATACAACCTCGAGATCTTCCCATATGCCTGAATAGCTTTCTCATTCTTTTTAAACCGCATGGAACTCCTTTACATGTCTCTACCATCGTTTACTTAACCAGACCTCAACTGACAGACCCTTAATGCCGATTCCAGTCTCCTAAAAGGAATAATTGCATACATTTCTTTTGTGTTGAAGATGACTTTCCAGAAGTGAGATCCTTGGGTCAGAGGGTAAATGCGTTTGAAATCTAGGTACTTTTGCAGCATACTCCTCTGTAGAAATGGCATCCTTTTGTGCTCCCAGGGGACTTGTTCTGAAAAATGCCTCTTTTCCCCCAGCTCAAGAGTGGTGAGTTATACAACTTTTGCAGTTTTGCCTAACTGATGGTTAAAAAGAGGTATCTCTGTGCAACTTTATTTTTATAGCTTTTTAAAAGCTCATCAAGTGATTCCAAATATGCCACCCAGATAGAGATACTCCCCTGGAGCCATTGACTGGGCTGGAAGGTTTCTGAAAGCCAGAATCATGCACCTTCTGTCCACGTGGTGCCTGGTTTATAGAAATAGCTCATTTATTGAATGCAGTGAGAAAGAATGAAGGAAAAGTCACCACTAAACTTACTCTGTGACTTTTAAAATCTTTGTAAATCCTTAACCTCTTTTATGGAGCCAACCCAAGATCTATTCACGTGTGGGTTGGCTCATTTGGGAATGGGAGTTGTCTGCTGTGCGTATAAAGCGTGAACCTCACTAATTAGACTTTCTGGCACGGAACTTTTGAGTCAGATGAGGAACGTGGCACCTTCACCTGAAGTTCCTTGATGTTTCTGAGATGCTGACCACTCCATGCTCTTTGCACTTTTGATACACTCACCGAAATATACAAGTGACAAGAGGGTTTTCTTTTCTTTTTTTTTTACATGAATAATTTTTAACTTACTTGACTCATTTCTGTGTCCACATAGCAGTTAAAATGTTCCCCCTGGGATCCACGTATGAACGCATGCTCTGTCAGGATTCTCCAGCTGCATCTGCTTTGCTGTGGTCTGTTAGGAAGCACGGAGCTTTGGGACAGGGACAAATCTAGGTCCTCGTCCTGGACTTGACTTGAGGATTCTAGCATCATGAGCCTCAAGTGTCTTGTGAAACATCCAGGTTAGGATCCATCCTGCAGAGGAAGGGCGAGAGGGGTGGTGCTCACCACGTGTGTTAAAGGCTCTGGACAAAGCATAACAGTTTCACAGGATTAGAGAAAACTAGTCGGTGTCTGTGTGTGTTACAGAATCTTGGAGTTGGATGTATGCAGGAATCAGCAAAGTACAACCTGTGGGCCAAATCTGGCCCCTTGCTTGTTTTTATAAATAAAGTTTTATTGGCACATAGCCACATCCATTTGTTTAAAGATTGTCGATGGCTGCTTTCCCACTGCAATGGCAGCAGGGAGTAGTCGCAACAGAAGTTGTATGGCCTGAAAAACAAAATGTTTTACTAACTGGACCTTTATGGGAAAAGTTTGCTGACCCTCTTCTCAATCCCGATGCCTTCATTTTTATCAATGCAGGATTGTGGTATGGCCTCTGAGATAATAAAACCCAAGTCTGGAGCTCTTTCCATCTTTCTGGAATTTTCCAAAGTGTGGCCACAGGACCAGCTACATCAGAATGTCCCCGACCTGGGAATCTCAATTTAACAAGCAGTCCAGGTGGTCCTCAGTTCTAGAATTTAAGAAGCAAGTGCTGGGTACCTTCCTTCTTCCCTAAATTCTTCAAACTGTGTAAGCATTCCTCAATCTGATAGTTGACACCTCACTTGCAATATCTTTAATTCCAAGCTTTTCCTGTTCATAAACAAAGAAAAGCAGCTCTGTTGTCTTCCAGTTCTTTTTACATTTTCACAGAAAGCTGTAGACATAGAGGGATGTATGGGTAGACCTCGGAGATACTGTAAGCTTGGTTCCAGAGCACCACAATAAAGCGAGTCACACTAATGTTTTGGTTTTGCAGCAAATATAAAAGTTATGTATAGGGAATTCCCTGGTGGCCCAGTGGTTAGGACTGTGTGCTTTCATTACCAAGGGTGAGGGTTCGACCCCTGGTCCGGGAGCTAAGATTCCCGCAAACCAAGGCGTGGCCAAAAATTAAAAAAAAGAAAAAAAGAAAAATTAAGTTATGTACGATATGTACTATCCTGTAATCTATTAAGCATACAGTCACACTATGTCTAAAAAAAGTGTCCGTACCTTAATTCCAAAGTACAAAAGAAAACAAAACAAACACAATTTCAGTAGTAACGTCAAAGATCCCTGGTCACAGATCAACATAACAGATACAATCATAGTGGAAAAGTTTGAACTGTCAAAATGTGACACAGACCCGAAGGGAGCCAGTGTGGTTGGAAAAAGGGTCCCAATAGACTTGCTCAGGGTAGGGTTGCTGCAAAGCTTCCATTTGTAAAAAACACAGTCTGTGCAAAGTGCAACGTGCGCTGAGCATAATAACATCCTGGCGCGCGCTGTTCCTCTGTAACACGGGGTTGGGTCTTGTTGATCCCCCAGCCTCCCATCGTGCCCAAAGTGTGCAGCGAGGGCGACACCTCCAACTTCGAAGCTTATCCCGAGAACGACTGGAACATGGCCCCTCCGGTGTCACAGAAAGAGCTGGAAGTCTTCAAGAATTTCTGAGCATGGGCTCCCCACCTGGAAGGTATATCTTTTTTTTTTTTTAATATCAAGGAATCTCATTTCATGCATTAATTTTATCAGTTGAATTCTGTTTCTTTCTTTCTTTTTTAACATGTACACGTATCTGTTCTTTTTCAAATTCTTTTCCCATTTAGGTTGTTACATGACACTGTGCCCAGTTCCCTGTGCTCTACAGGAGGTCCTCGTTGGTTGAACTTATTTACAAAACAGAAACAGACTCATAGACTCAGAGAACGAACTTATGGTTACGAGGCGGGGAGGGTCGGGGGGAGGGGGGAGGGATACATTGGGAGTTCGGGATTGATACGTACACACTGCTGTATTTAAAATGGGTAAACGACAAGGTGTATCTTTATTTTTAGTAGTTAAAAATCGGCGAGGGGGCTTCCCTGGTGGCGCAGCGGTTGAGAGTCCGCCTGCCGATGCAGGGGACACGGGTTCGTGCCCCGGTCCGGGAAGATCCCACGTGCCGCGGAGCGGCTGGGCCCGTGAGCCATGGCCGCTGAGCCTGTGCGTCCGGAGCCTGTGCTCCGCAGCGGGAGAGGCCACAGCAGTGAGAGGCCCGCGTACCGCCAAAAAAAAAAAAAAATCATCGAGGTTGACAGAACCTCATGTGCAGGAGGTCTTGCATAGACCGAGTGGGCCTTCTCTCCCCGCTTCGGGCACGAGCGATGGAGCAGAACCAGCCCTAGTCCCTTCCAGGGCAGCAGAAGAAACAGCCGGTGTGTGTGGGCCGCACGGCCAGAGCACCAGCCTCACCACCAGGATCTCACTCCCCGGACCGACCTGCCGGGGCAGGGTCTGTACCAACACATACGGCTCCTAGGAGACCGGTGCGCCTACACATTTGAGAAGCATAGCTCTTGTGGCTGCTTCCTGGAATCCCCGAGGTGCAGACCACGATACTTCCCAAGTATTTTCAGAAGGGCTCTGGGGTCTCTTTTTGTTAGAAAGGAATCATCTGAGAGCACCTTGTAGGAAATTCGCTAAAGTTAATTTGAGATTGAAAAGAAATGACTTTGAGTCTCTTATTTCCACGAACCTTTGAAGGTCTATATGACTGTCTGACTTTGAAGGTCTATATGACTGTCTGACTTTGAAGGTCTATGTGACTGTCTGACTTTGAAGGTCTAGTTTATTTAGTTAGTTATTGAGTTAGTTTAATTGCCTTTTATTTTTCTCTCTGGTATCTAGGGGTTGGTTTTTATTTTCTTCATTTTTATTTTTTATTGAAGGATAGTTGATTTGCAATATTGTGTTAGTTTCAGGGGTAGCAAAGTGATTCCATTGTATATATGTATATATATTTTTTCAGATTGTTTTCCATTGTAGGTTTTTGCAATATACTGAGTATAGTTCCCTGTGCTGTACAGTAGGTCCTTGTTGTTTGTCTATTTTATACCTAGTAATGTGAATCTGTTCACCCCGAACTCCTAATATATTCCCTCCCCGTTTTTCCCCTTCGGTAACCATAAGTTTGTTTTCTGTGTCTGTGAGTCTGTTTCCGTTTTGTAAATAAGTTCATTTGTATCATTTTTTTTTTTCCAGATTTAGAGTGGAGTTATTTTTAATGTACTTTGGCCAATGGCAGGGGCAGTATTTGATGACATTCTTGGTGACCCTTTGGAAGTCAGGAGACCATTTCATGATCTCATTGCTTCCTGTTCATGCAACCAGCTTGCATTTTGCTCTTCTAAAAGCCAGACACTTTCATATTTGAATCTCTCTCAGTCATCTTACTGGCTGGTATTTTCCGCTGAGCGATCAGGTGTGATGATGCTATGCGAAAAGATATTCTTTCATGAAGCGAAATCTCATCCCACAGGTGAGACCCAAGTTCAGCTTCGTTACAGGATTCGGAGCTCTGTTCTGCAGCTGTGGGACTTACTCGTGCCTCTGTGTGTGGACTCCTGCTTCTCAGCAGGTGGAGATGGATGTTAAGACAGCTGGCAGGGGACCTCTCAGCTCTCTGTGCCTTGTAGTTCTCTTCATCATAAAATGTTTTTTCTGGTTGTATAATCCCACAGCAAAGCACATTGAAACTAGGATCTGTTTTTGTTTTGTTTTGTTTTGTTTGCGGTACGCGGGCCTCTCACCGTTGTGGCCTCTCCCGCTGCGGAGCACAGGCTCCCGACGCGCAGGCTCAGCGGCCATGGCTCACGGGCCCAGCCGCTCCGCGGCATGTGGGATCTTCCCGGACCGGGGCACGAACCCGTGTCCCCTGCATCGGCAGGCGGACTCTCAACCGCTGTGCCACCAGGGAAGCCCTAGGATCTGTTTTTGCTTGAGTGATGAATCTCCCTTCTCATCGTGAGTGAGGAGAGGCTAGTTCTGTGCATGTCAACACCATAGAACATTAAAAACCCACCTTTCAAATATTGTTCCATGTCTCTTATTAGGCATCTTCTCTCCTTAGAATTCAGGCTTGTGGGTCTTTGCAGTAAGAATTCCAAAGGAAAGTTGGGTTTCTCTCGTGCTATTATTGTTGTTGTTGTTCTTAGGATGACAAACTCTACCCAGGTGTTTAAAAACTAACAAAATCCTTTGTCTGATTTCATGCCAGAAACAGGGTGATTTGAGCCTGCCTGGGACAGATGGCTGCCCCCAGGCAGACCTGAAGAAGCATCTTCTTAATGGGATAAGGACTTTTCCACATTTATGTACACCCGGATGTATATAACGAGATTGCAGAGCCGTTGACATTTGTGGACCTAGAATTATTTAAGCAACTGGAAATCGACTGCACAGTAGGACGTTTTGAAAAATTGTTTGGTTGTAGATTTTATCTTCTTTTTAGGCTTGTGTTCCTACTGGGATATCCTGGGGTTTTTTTCCTCATCGACTTTATAAGTTTGAGCTGAACTTGTTCAGATACAACCACAAATCGCGTGTGTGTGCCCGTGCGTGTGTCTGTGTGTGTATAAAAAGGACGGTGTGCCTGGATCAGGGAAATTGTGCGGTGAAGTAAATGTTCCTACTTTGCAGAGCCTATGGTGTTTTATGTTTCCGGTTTTTTTTCAAGAATCTATTCTCTTGGGGACAAATTCTGAAAGTGTGATATGTGCATTTTTTACCATCTTATGTGCATTTTATGGTTATATGTGAAGAAAGTATCATACGACGGTCTATATCCAACATCTTCAATGCTTTGTGTCTGGTAGCCTTGGGTCATGAATCCAGGACGACAGGGAAGGAGATGTGGGTTTGGACTTTAGTGCAAGGCTAGCCATTGGCCATGACTGTTATTCAAGGAATTTTCTCTGTTGCATTAAAAAAATCTCATACTCTGTAGGGGGATGGCTATCTATTAATATTCCAGGTTAAATCCGTGGACCAAACTGCATCTCCCAAAGCAAACTCGTAGCTTTCTGTATTGGCTCAATGAACTTATGCAAATGTTTTCTTTTCCCTTTGGTTTTAGGAAAAGTAAGGAACAAAACGGGTACGATGGAAGTGTTTGAACCTCCCTCGTTTCTGCTTAGTTTTTTACTTCTTCTTGTCAATGTTCAGTCCATCTGGTGTCATAGACCTGGTTGGCTTGTGCAGCATAACCGTTGGGTGAGATTCGTTTCTCTTTGGACGTGATGGTGAGGGTCCCCTGAGGAGTGCTCTGCTGTGCCTTCCCCTTAGCACTGATCTTGAAAGCCACGTGCTGAGTGGGTCGCCATGAGTGTGTTGCTGTGTAAATAGGGGTCTTCCCAGAAGCAGTGCCTGGGCAGAGGGCCTTGGTGTCTGTCTGGTCCCTCGTGCATTTCCTCCTCTACTCTCTGCTTCTGCTTTCCGATTCCAAACTTTGCTGTGAAAATCTGAAGGCGCCGCCCATATTCTGTTGGCCGTGAGTCAGCTGAAAACACAGCATTGCTCAAACCTGTTACGTATCCAATCGTAGGGCCCAACCACGGCCTTCTCCGTGGAGGTCTGTGCGTTGAAGAAGTAGGTTCCAGAGCCTTCAGTGGCGGCAGGGATGCACCCGATAGATCTCCGAGATCGCCTCTCCTGCATCCTCCCTTTTCCTGCCGAGAAAGGTCCAGCTCCTTGGGCAGCCGGCATGGGGCAGAGGTGTGTTGGTGTCAAGCGTTGGGCGCCCCCTGAGCTCTCAGCCCCCTCCCAGGCCTCTGCAGCTCATGTGTTCTTGGGTTACCGGGCAGGTTCTTTGCCATCAACACTGTTTTTCCTGGGCTGGGCCAGGAAGGCTTTTCTTCCTATAGCCCCTTGCCTACCTCTGTCTCTTCTGCAGGCACATCTGGGGGTGTGGAGAGCTGCCATATGCAAAAAATCATACATTTTTTTTTACCGCAGCAAAAAATGTCCAAGGAGATGCAGTCACCTCTCACATTTGGCCAGTTTCCACTCACGAATCCAAAGACGAGGGCTGTGTGTGTTTGAAGGTGACATGAAGGCAGCTTCCACCTATAAGAGCTTTAAATTGAAGACACTAAATCACCCCCTTCTCATAAATGACCTCGTCTTCAAAAACCAACTCCATAGGTGAGAGTGAGTCCAAAATTTAGTAAAAGAAACCCGTTACAATGAGTAGCTCAATAAAAATTTATTTTCCAAGGGTGTGCTTGGATAAATGTTCCCACAGAACTGTGTTTTCAGTCTGTACTTTTCGGGCACCGTGCTCCTTGGATGAAGCCATGGGCCAGCAGGGGCTAAAATTTTACCATGTAATTTCTGCACTGTTTCATCGTTGAAGGTCAGAAGGGTAAATGAGCAAAGCAAACCTGCACGGAGATGCAGACCCACAAGGAAAAACAGGTCTTGTGTCTTCCGACTATAAAAATAAACAATTAGGGCTTCCCTGGTGGCGCAGTGGTTGAGAGTCCGCCTGCCGATGCAGGGGACACGGGTTCGTGCCCCGGTCCGGGAGGATCCCACATGCCGCGGAGCGGCTGGGCCCGTGAGCCGTGGCCGCTGAGCCTGCGCGTCCGGAGCCTGTGCTCCGCAACGGGAGAGGCCACAGCAGTGAGAGGCCCGCGTACCGCAAAAAAAAAAAAAAAAAATTATTTGGAGGCTTATGCTTAAAAAAATACAAAATAAATGAAACACCTTTCTTGAACACAATGCAAAATTGTACACGCACACGATCCCTATGCGTGTTTTTTTGGGTTCGCTCTTCCTGTCCAGGATTTAATTTATGAGATGAAAAGAGTCCAAGAATGCATGAAAACACACTGCCTTAATTTTGAACAAATATGCAGGGAAGACAAAAGTTCAAATGCATTGATGACTTGGTTCTTTAAAAACGTTGTCATTGACCGTCAGCCTCGCAAAACGTTGAAAGTGAAGAGGAATTCCAAGAGTACCACATGGTGTTTGTCTCACCTTCCAGACCCTCGGGCCCATTTAATTATACAAAGCGTTACCTGCCGGTGACCAGGGCATAAATTACATGGTCTGACGTAGTGCAAAGATGGGTGTGATCAAAGTGATCACACGCTCCCCATGTATGACCGAAAAATTGTTCCCTCCCTGGAGGCCTTCTGCCGTGCTCACATATCGGATCAAAAATAATCGGGGTGCAAAGTTTTGGAGAAAATTCACATCCATCAGCACAACATTCAGAGCCGGAAAAGGACAGATTGATTTTTGTTGTCTGCAATTTTGACAAGTTGGTAAATGACAATGCTATTTAAAAAGTCTTTAGGACACACATGTATTGCAAGAGGTGGATTGAGGCGGGTCTTGTTTTCCTAAGGGGACTGTCGCCAGCCTGCTTTGTTAGGCATCTGTAAAGCTGAGAAGGAGATGAAATCACAGCTGATCATACGGCATAATGTTCATGGTCACAGAAGTTGGAATCCCCCTCAGCAGAAATGTATCGTTTGCCAGCAATGGAAAAGTCGTGTTTTATGCTCTCCACATGTCAAAATACGCAAAAGAAACTCCAGTCACCAGGTAACAGGTGTCCACGTCACACCATCACGATGCTTTAAAACACCACCTCCTGTTGTGCTCCTGGGGCAGCTGCACCATCAGCTGTTTATAAATGTCTCGTGCAGTGTTTTGTTTCCTTCTGTCCGTCTGTATGTCGGGACTCCCCTGCTGCCAGCCACAGCGTCACCAGTAGCGCTGAGCAGTTGGGTGATGTGACACACATTTGCCCTTTCTGCGTACAACCTAAGTTGCCTCTCAGTTCGGAACCACGTGAACTGTGAAATACAGCTCCATCCTGTTCCCGCGAGACCCCGACGCACCGCCCCGTAGGCACCGAGGGCCGCCCACCCAGGTGAACGCTGCAGGCTGCAGCAGGTCCCATCAGAACATCAAAATCCTCACGTTAGCTGCAGGTGCAGGAAAGATTGGATTTTTTTTTTTCCAGCCCTTTGATTTTGCATCGCGAAATTTACACCATCACAGGAGCCCTTGATGGCTCCCAATTAAGATTTGAAGGGACACATGCCTGCATTATTCTTTCTCCAGGGGTCCGTCTCCCTGGCGTGTATTTTACACCTGTTGGGCACATCCTACGTACTGTATGTACCCTCTAGCCCTGTTTCTGACTAATTAGTTCCACTTCCCTGGATGTTGTTGAGTTACCAAAAACAAAGAGAAAAACACATGCACAGTTGTCTTAATATGTTTGAGTAGTTGTGTGTGTGTGTGTGTGTCTGTCTTGTTGGAGGTGGAATGGGGGGGGATGCTTTCACCAAGCATAATGTTTTCATATCAAGCTTGTTTTTGCAGACCCTGTGGGGTTGCATCCAAGGAGCAGTGCTTCATAATCAAAAGGAAATGCTCTGTAACGGTTTCCTCTAAATTATTGTGTCTTAAGATGTTCTGTTGATCTTCCATGGCGGACTTTTGTTATTTAAGTACAAGTCATTACATGTTCGTTTTTGCAACTGGGATGTGAAGCCTTTCTGCTCGCAGGCCGTCTTTCCTGGTCCCCTGAGATGCTTTTCCAGCTCTGCAGGGCCGTCAGAGCTTCCTTCTTTCTTGCGGGATGAAGTTCCTGGGCCAGCGTGGCACGTCCCCAGTGAGTCACACTGGGAGCCCCGCCGGGTCATCCCAGCTTCTCGTGTGGATTAAAAAACCCTGTCAATTCCTTGCACAATGAAAATCACTGTGATTTGTATATATACCGTAGGAAAATTTTACTGCTGTCTAATTTATGGAATAATACTATTGATTCCAGGTTTGTTTAATAAAACTTTGTATCTTTTAAGATAAAGTCTGTCTCCGGTCTGGTTCTTTGGTCACAGGGAAAGCTGTAGCTTTTCTGCTTTCATCTAGCCTAGGTGTCAGAAGTCTTTCTTTTTCTTTTTAATTTTTTATATTTTACTGAGATATAATTGACCAAAAAATTATGTTTGTTTCAGGTTTACAGCATAATGATGCTATATATGTACACGTAGCAGAAAAACACCCCAGTATATCTATTCAACATCCGTCCCCTTACATAGTTATAAAATGTTTTTCTTGTGCTGAGAACTTTCAAATTCTCCCTTAAAACAAGTTTCAAACATACGATACAGTATTATTGTATTTTCTTCTGCAGAGGGCCAGATGGTTAATATTTTGGGCACTGCAGGACAAGCTGTGTGCAAAAGCAGCCCTAGACTGTATGTAAATGAAGGGGCGTGGCTGTGTTCCAATAAAGTTTTATTTATAAAGAGAGGCTGGGGGGCTGGATTTGGCCATGCTTTGCCAGCCTCTCGTCTAGTACCCGAGGGTGTCTTTGCCAGTCACCTTTGCGGTTTGTTCAAAATGTACCTCCATCATTGTCATCAAAAACTGAACTATTTTAAAATTTCATTCTCATCCGTCACGTAGCTTGGCGCCCGGCTTTCCACGCTACCTCTGCAGTTTGCTGAAACGTGCGCCCTTCCTCACTGTAAGTCAACCCGTGTGTGATTTATAGCATTCATGTCACTGCTACAGCCAGGTAACAAGCATCACACCAAAACGAGGGTCCCGTACGAGCCTGTTTATTACCTGGTGGCCACCCTTGTCCACCTCTGCTCATGGAATTCCTTTGGGAGCGTCTCCACAGACAGGCACGGCAACTCAGGGTCTGGCTGCAAACCTTCTGGGAGTGACGGTCTAGAATTTCTATAGAGTAGGTGCTTAGGGGGTGACATTCTGGTTTGGGAGAGAGAGAGAGTGTGTGTGTGTGTACGTGCGTGTACGTGTGTGTGGTGTACGTATGTGTGTACATGCACGTGCACATCCATGCATATTTCGGGAGGAAATGAGAAAGGGTTTTTGAGGGACTGCTGGAGATGGTCCACGGAGTCTGTGTTGCGAAGCAGCTAAGTTCTTCTGTCTCCTCTGCCGTTTTGGTTGCCCTCATTGGCTTCTTTTCTTTTCTTTCTCCTTTTTTTTCCGTAACCATACTCTGTTCATGGAAGTCTGGAAGCCAGTCTCATTTTGCGTTCTTGTTAAAGAATCCAACAACCTTGTCTCAAGAAGTTAAGGAAGAACAGGTGTGGTCTCAGTCCGAGGCTGCCTCAGGTATGGCCTGCAGAAAAAAAATCTTTCTTCTGTTTTCGGAGCTCCCCTCCATACAGGACAGTAAGATACCTGCTTTACAGGGTTTGTTTTTTAAATTATTATTGTAATATAGTTGGCATATAACATTCTGATAGGTGTTCCACGTATTGGTTGATACATTTATATATTGCAGTATGATTGCCCTTGTCGCGACAGCTGTCATCTCTATCAGGTTACCTAATTATCATTTTTGTGTGTGTGTATGTGGTGGGGATAATTAAGCACTAGTCTCTTAGTGAGGGTGACGTTTATCATACAATATTATTGTCTGTAATCACCGTGCTCTGCATTAAATCTCCAGGACTTATTTACCTACTAGTTGCAACTTTATACCCTGATCAACATCTCCCCTGTTACCCCTCCACCCTGCAGCCCCAGGAACCACCTTTTAACTCTGTTTCTATGAATGTGATTTTCTTAGACTCTGCAGATAAGTGATATCATACCCTATTTGTCTTTCTCTGTCTGGCTTATTTCACTAAGCATAATACCCTCTCGGCCCATCTATGTTGTCAAGAATGGCAGAATTTCCTCTTTGATGGCCAAGTAATATTCCGCCGTATGTATCTGTACGCCACATCTCCTTTATTCATTCCTCTGTTGACAGACACTGAGGTTGTTTCCGTGTCTCGACTGTCGTGAATAATGATGCTGTGAATCTGGGGGTGCAGATACCTCTTCAAAATGCAAATCAGAACCACAGTGAGATACGACCTCACACCTGTCAGAATGGCTGTTATCAAAAAGATAACAAACAACAAATGCCGGAGAGGGTGTGGAGAAGAGAGAACCCTCCTACACTGTGGGTGGGAATGTAAACTGGTGCAGCCACTCTGGAAAGCCACATGGAGGTGAGGTTCCTCAGAAATTAAAAGTAGAATTACCAAATGATCCAGCAATCCCACTCCTGGGCGTGGCTACCATTTAACGTTTAAAAATAGGAGCTATCCGCCCCCTCCTTTAAAGGTAACAAAATTGAGGCCGAGAAAAACTAAGTGATTCACCCAGAGTCTCCTAGTTAATAAATCATGGAGCTGAGATTCAAACTCCACCTGACTCCTGCTCATTCCAGTGCACCACATGACATTTCAGTAATAAAAATATTAGGACCGTCATTGAAGAAAGAAAGAACCAGATTCTCTATATTTGGAGGAAAACATTGGATGCCGGGCAAACTGTCAAATGCTGAAGACCTCCAGTCAGTGGATTGATAAGAGCATTGACAATTGGATGCCTTGCTTTGTCTTAAGGCAGGAAACCATGATCTACTTGAACCCTTTTGAAAGTAAGAGTTATTAACAGGCAAATTACCTTCCAGAAATGCAGGCGAGAGACTCTTCTGTAGACCTGTGGAGCTACGAGCACAGATAAACTTTTATTTTTAAATGGTGGTTAAAAAGTGCATCACAGGAGATCTACCCTCAATAAAATTTTAAGTGCAAAGTACAGTATCGTCAAGTATAGATGTTACTGGACGCAAGTTCGTGTGCCCGACGTACAGTGAGGCGAAACAAACCGGAACGTCGGAGTTTGCGGCAGAGAAAGGTTTATTGCAGGGCTTGCCAGGAGACCGTGCTCAGAAAATCCCATACTCCCTGAAGGGTTTCAGCAAAGCATTTTTAAAGGCGTGGGGAGGGCGGGCTGGGGTTGTGGCACCTTCTGGATGCTGGAATCCTTTGCTCTTCCATCTGTCCATGTAGGTCAGGTCACCGCGTTCACGTACACCTCCAACAAGACACATGTTATTCTCTGTTCTGCAACCTTTTATCTCTATATGAACCGAAAAGTGTTTTACTGGTAAAGGTCAGAGCCCGGAGCATGTGCCGTTATGTATATTTCAGGCCACAGGCAACATTCTTTTACAAAAGGTGCAGAGCCAGCATCACTGAGCACAGGCGACAGAGCACAAAGGTCAAAGGAACAGGTAACTGGTTTCCCCTGTTACGTAGAGGCACCGTCAAGTACAGCAGCTCCCTAGGATGTATTGCTCTCACGTAACCGAACTCTATCCCCGTTGAACAGTGAGTGACTGCCTCCCACCGCTCCCCTGTCCCCACTGCCCTTGGCCCCTGGCAGCCGCCTTTGGGGCTGGGTCTCGAATTTCACCCGAAATGTTTCCAGTTCTCAGGAACATCCTGGAGAATAGACTGGCTTTGGTATCTGGTTAGAAAGGTCTGGCTTGGAGCCCGCTGCACAGTCAGCTTTTATAGTCCCCCGGGGAGGGCGATGTCTCGGAAAGCCACTGGCTGAACAATGCTTCTTTCTCATGAATCAGAATTTGTGTGCAGGCTGTTTAAAACCAGTGCCTTAGAGAAAGCGAGAAATAAAAAATCCACAAAAGGCAGAGTTTTTAAAGGGACGTCCTTCCAGTAAGTGGGAAAGAACAAAGGTTAATTTGGCCCACGGAGGTCGGAATTTGGGCAGTTCTTATCCACTGTGCTTATTTTTGTCAAGGTGGAGAAGCACGACCCAATGCCTAAAAGGCAAAGGGGGAGGATTGACCTTGTGCAGAGTACATTCTAATACCCGAGAACTCTCCATTTCCCGGTGGCCAGATGCTTGTTTATTTTCTTAAACTGATATCCTTTTATTAAAAAAAAAATTTATTATTTATTTTTGGCTACGTTGGGTCTTCGTTGCTGCGCACGGGCTTCTCATTGCGGTGGCTTCTCTTGTTGCGGAGCACGGGCTTCAGTAGTTGTGGCTCGTGGGCTCAGTAGTTGTGGCTCGCGGGCTCTAGAGCACAGGCTCAGTAGTCGTGGTGCACGGGCTTAGTGGCTCCGCGGCATGTGGGATCTTCCCCAACCAGGGCTCGCACCCGTGTCCCCTGCATTGGCGGGCGGATGCTTAACCACTGCACCACCAGGAAGTCCCTGGCCAGATGTTTAGATCCTTGGCTTTTTCTTGGGAATCTGTTGTCTTTTCCTTCCTAAGGGAGGGAGCGCCCGTGACCTATTCGGGGGAATTTATGCCACTTTCAGAATGTCATCTTAAAGAATTGGGGCTTTAGCAGAGATCCCCTAATTCGTGCTTTTCAAGCCTTTACTGTGGTCATGGTGGGAAACCTATTTGGCATATTTAGCAGAACCATCCAGAAATGAAACCACATTTGAGGCTTGGGTCTTTTGTGGGAAGCCCATAGGTGACTGCTCTGAATCCCGCTTTTTTTTCCCTCACATGAACTCCAAGCTCTGTGTTGCTGATTTCACAAGGGACCGAATACTAGGGAGGGGTTAGAAGAAAGTTGCGGCTCTCTTTCCCATCATGTCTGTGAACTTAAAAGTTGATCCTCTTTTCTACCCCTTCATTTCCGTCGTTCACCACGGCGCACACCAGCCTTCTGGCTCATCGGTGCGGTTTACAGCATGCTTACCGGTGCTCTGTCCTCATCTGTGCGGTTTACAGCGTGCTTACCGGTGCTCTGTCTTTCTGGACTCATATTTTCTTTTCTCCAGCCCTTATTCCCAGTCTCTGCACACTTGTACTTTGACAAAACGTTGGTCCAGTGTGTTTTTTTATTAGTTAGTTAGTTAGTTTGTTTTACAACTGTTGGGTCGAAATTGCCACGGACATGGCCTGTGGCCATCACTTTTTTACAGTCTGCTCTGGGATGCCGGTTGGACGGATTTTCCTTCCTAACGGTGGTGGAAGGTCTTCGTCAGCTCTCGGCAGCTGGTG